AACATAAAATTCGAATATTGGTTCGATTATAGAACGATTGTAAACGTTCCAGAAACGTTGAAAAGAGTTCGTTTGACTGGACGTAAACAGGAGACGTTCAGAAATAGAATCGGGATCAGGTCTCTAATTAGTCTGGAAACAGGGGACCTAATTCTTGCATTCTGTGAAAATGGGTAAGATTGGCTATAATGTAATTATCTTAATCTTCACTATCGTTACTTTTTGCCCACAAATAAAAACCCAGCGAAGCGGGTCCTTGCAGCTAGATTCTAGATTACTTAGAATAACAGTCTTTTATATATAAAAAACAAAAACTATATTACATACAAATGTACGAACAAATAAAAACCCAGCGAAGCGGGTCCTTGCAGCTAGTATGTTTATAAAATACGTTTTAAATATCATTTATGGGCAAATTTTTCAATAAATTTATTTATTTTTTAATTTAAAATTATTTATATTCTTTGCGTCAATTGAATTGATTTATAAATACGAAATAAAAATAATAAAATTATTAAATTTTACAGAAAGTCTTCCTCTTTTTTGTGCTGACATTTGTAATAGCTCAAGCAATCGTTTGCCCGAAAGATGCGTGCAAATATGTAAAATGCAAAGATACCGACGGATGCAGAGAAGGAAATGGCATTATCAAAGAAAAAGGGGGAGTTTGCGGATGTTGTGATATCTGTGTAACTATACTAAGTATGTAATGAAATCTTGTTTAAATTTACATTTACATATTCCTGGTATCAATAATATTGAATACAGTATTTAATACTTATTAAGTTTAAAATTTTGTTTCAGACGAAGGTGATTTATGTGAGCCTGTAGAATTTGGATTAGTTCCTCCCGAAGCAATATGTTCCGAAGGTCTGCAATGTGATCATCATACTTTTACATGTAAAAAAATTTCTGAAATTTCTGATTATTAAGTTATAAGAATAAAAGCTTTGCTGTATAATTAATACAGGATTAAAATGAAAGTTATCAAATGTAAAAAGGTTATGAATTAATAAGTTAAATACTGTATTTATACAAAATTGAAGAATCGAAACATCACAGATTTACATATAATGTAGTTTTAGTTTTACTTAATTTATGCTTACAAATCAAATTTCTGCATGTTTTACTCACTTAAGCTTCCGAAAGTATGTTTTTATAAACTATACGTTAAAATCTGCCTTAGGTTATATCAGTGATTCTCAAACTTTTTCGATCCACCGCCCCCTTTGTTCCATAAAGTTATACCCAACGCCCCCTAACCCATTTTCTCTTGTGTGAGAAAAGGATTGGAAATATTCTTAGGAAAACTTTTCTATGAATCTCACACTTTGTGCCCTTACTGTACATTGTTCTCATCATCTGGAAACCATTAAACGCAATGTTTCCTCTTATCAGCCCCAATTTTGCCTTTGGTCACCGTTCAATACCCTGCCTCTATCATAGATCTATTCATCGCGCCAGAAGGGGGCGTTATTGCTTACTTTGAGAAACGCTGAGCTAAAATAAAAGTCAATGTGTTAGAAATATTCAAGTTGTGACCTTCAATAAAAAATAAAAAATATATAAAATGTCAACATTTTATATATATTCCGTCGAATTTTTATATATAGAATTTGTCTGCCGTCGCCCCTCTATATTTCCTTAACGCCCCCCAATTCTCTTTGAGTCTTCTACTGCCCCCCTGAAAGCCTCCAGTGCCCACAAGGGGGCGTTATCGCCCACTTTGAGAAACGCTGGGCTATATACAAAAAAATCATTTTTAAACGTTTTTATTTGTTCAAAAATTATAATGATGTTGAAAATGGTTTTCCACTGTGGGTTTTCTGTATCCCATAAATTGTTTCTGGTATTGTTGATCTTAGTTTTGGATAAATTGCTCCTTGTTTGTAAACCAGATGTAATTGTTTCTCATTGTGCATTATCTTACTTTAAAGTATCATATTGTCCTTTTTGTGATTATCATCCTTTTCTCCATTTTACACTCAGTTTCTGCAATATTTTGTGTATCCGTAGAATGAAGAAATAGGTTCTACTTTAATTACATTAAACCTTAAAATTATTTTTCATGTTTTTATATTACTATCCGATACATGTTTTACAAAAATATGGGGGTGCTATTTGCTATCGTCTGTGCTGATGACTTTTTATGGCAAGCTTGTTCTATGACCAGAATTACTTACTTTTTGATCGTGAAATTAAGAAATATCTTGAAAAATATGTTGTATAATCAGTTACTCTCTTATTATCCGATTTAATTATACTGATCAATATTTACGAATTTGTATTTTAATGTTAATTGATGGTGTTGAACCTAATTCTGGTCCATTGTCTTGGACTACGCTTCCAACTACTGTATATTCGGATGTAAAACAATCTAATCTAACGTTTAACCATTTTAAAACATTTTTAAAGTTATAGAAATAAATTAATAAATTTCATTTTATAAATTATTAAATTGATATTTATCCATAAATTTGTTTTTGAAAAGTTCATAAAATTTATTTCAAAATTTTATCTAACGTTACTATTAAGATTATTTACTAAATTTTTGAGAAAAGATATTATAAGTTCATCACACAAAATTTTTAAAACTATTTACGTATAGTACGGTACATTCACTATTTTAATAGTTAAACTATGTAAATAGTTGTGAAAATGTTGCAAAATATCAAACTTATTCATTATTTTTAGATGAATATTTTGAGATGTTAATAGTTAAATAAAATTCTTTGTAATATTATTCTTTTGAATGTTTAGAATGCAATTCCACTATAAAGAAGTATGATAACATTTTATAAAATTTATTTATTTATCTAGAAAATGTTTCTTTTAAAATTTTACGCATTTAGTTTTATAAAATTAGAAAAATTCACCTGAATCAAGTTTAAATATAAAAAAATATTTTCACTGTAATATAAAATTGAATTTCATCATAATTTCATTACCGGATAACATATTATTATATAATATATTATTCAAAATATATAATTGTAATACATTAAAATTTCATAAAAATTTATTAATTTTATCTTCGATAAAACTTATTAGTAGTAGTTACTATTTAACTTTTGTAATAGTTATTAATGAATTCTTTTGAATGGTTATTAATGGTTATTGTGAATTAATTATTTTACATAGAAAATAAAGATGTAATTTGCATTTGAGCTAAGATGAATTCACTTATTCATTAAATCTTTATTTTATTTATTAAATGTTAAAAATTCCAATTTCCAATTATTAAATTAAATTAAAAACGAATTTTCTATCTATTGACTCGTAACTCGAGAGCAGAAAGCCACTTCATTGAAACAAAAATTTATTCTTAATGATTTTTAAGAGTAATTCAAGAAACAAAATCGAAAAACTTTTTATTAAAAGTAATTCTATTTTATTAAATTGGAATTTCTTTTAATAAAAAGTTTTTAATATATAGTTTTCCTTGAATATAAAATTAAAAATTCACAGATAATTGAAAACCTCATTTATTTATTTTTATAAAACATTTTCATTTTTAGTAAAATGATCGATTTTCTTCTACAAGTACTTTAAAGGTTAGCAGGATATATATGTAGATATATAAATCCTGCTAACTTTTTTCTTAAAATATATATATATACATATATTTCTAATAAAAAAAGATTCATCTTTGTAATATATTCTGTGAAGATGTTATTTTTAAAGATTCTTATTCATCACCAGCATCCTAAAAGATCTTGCAGAGAATTTAATTCAGATTCTTAATTTCAAATAATTGCGAACAGTTATAATTTGAGTTATAAAATTCAAAATACATAATTTTATTACAGAACTTTCGATATAATACATTCAACTCTGAATAAATATTTTTATAATAATTTTCATAAACATTAAAATTTAATTTTGTTTGTAAAACTTCTTTAAACTTTTAAGCTATTCACTGCCGTATATTGCAATTCTAATTTCACACATTCGAATGACATGGCCAAAAAATTTAACCATATTTTGTAAATATATATGCTGTATTTTAAATATACTCCAATAAATTCTAATATACGAATACAAGAAATAAAATAAAAATTCATAAACTGCAATGAATTTAAAGTTCTACAAATATTTAATATTTATTGATATTTTAAATATTATTTCTATATATACTTCAGAATGAATTATTTACAAATTGGACAACTTAGCTTAAAAAGTTTGTTTAATATTTATGGAGTTTATTGAAGACCTCATTCTGAACTTGTATGCATCTTGATTTTTATCATCATAATTTGTAAAGCACAGAAATTTATTTTTATGTTTTTGTATTTAATGTTTAATCAAGTTTAAGATTCTGTTTAACACATGTACAAAATTTCAATTTTTTTTAATCACGAATGGAATAAATTCGTTGACGATTGAAGTCTGGAATGAATAAGATGTAAAAGTTGTGATGGTAGAAATTTATTGACGTCAATTTTTCATTTGAGATGTTTGACAAATATCAATACCTTACTCTTTAAATATCGATATTAAAAAATTTTATTTAAAATTATTTTTTCAGCTAATAAAAGCATTACTATTTTCTTCAACACTTTCATCGTGATATTTGTAAATAATTCCTAATTTAATCTTATATTTTCATGTAGTTAGTACACTGTTAGTAGTCACTCACTGTTAGAATTAGCAATGTACACTTTAGATTCGAATCTAGCTCATCCACAATAGTTAGATAATAACCTACATGGAAGCCTTCTGAATAAATTATTGATAAATTAGTTATTCCTAATGATTCATCAGAATCAAACAGAACAAATAAACAAATTACGTAGCCAATACCTAGAGTAAATATGTAAGGTTTTATAATAGTTACTTCCTGCAAAACTTTCAATGTTTTTTTTTTCTTTTAATATTCTTTTATTTTTGCTAGAGCAGAGTACTATAAAGTATCCCTATTAATTAAGTATTATTTATGATTCAGTCTGACAATTTATTCTATACTAATTTTTTATTTAGGTAAATAAGATGTATATATATTTTTTTTACTTTCCTGGCTGTTATATATAACAGAGTAAAAATATGCGATCGGTCAAAACATGACTCCCCAAATTTGTACATTCTTGGACTCAGGGGAGCTTGAAACGTCGAGAAATGCAAAAGAATTTGGGAAATTTTTCTGTATATACGGATGCGTTTGTGTGAAGAGCACGATTTTGTTCATCCTCTTTGAAGTGTAATAAATTCTGTGCTTTTTGTCGAAAATTTTTGAAATTTTTCAAGAATGCTTGTGTATTAGGGAATTGATGCTATTAATTAAATTTTGGTGGTTAAATATTGAGAAGGTGGGAAGATAAAGGAGTCGTGTGTTATATCTCGAATAGAATCGCACTTAATGACGAATTTATTCGTTATTATCATTTACAGTTACAGTATTTTTATAAAACCCATCTCTATCCTCAAAATTAAGCTTTTCGTCATTTAAAATAATTAAAAATTTTAAAATAAAATTATCATAACAGACGGCGCCACAACCTGCTTTTAATGTTCATAAAAAATTTAAACAACTTGTTGGTTAATTTTATTTTATCTTTTTATTTATAGGATTAAAATACTATAATGTTTTTAGTAATTAATAATATATAAGTGATATTTATAGGCTATTTATTGTTTACAAAAGTATAAATTTTGACAATATAAGAACTTTTTGTTAGAATTTGTCTCTATACAAGTATAATGATGTTATAAAATTTTTAAAAAATCGTTTAAATTTTAATCATTTTAAATTCTATTTTATCTACAAAACTTGCCTAACTTAAAATGTTTATATTCTTGTATATTTACATTGCATTTTCAGATATTTCTGTAATTTAGCAAGAGACAACATGTAATTTATTAGTCAAAATGATGTTTTACAATTTTTCAATGAAAATCTGTAATAAATATTATAGAAATGTTACAACACACAATTATTTTTAAGATGAACATATATAATTATTGCTATTTTAGCAATTAAACTTTAAACATCTATAATTTTTTTTTAAATTTTTTCTAGTTT